AGTAACGAGATTCACAGTCAGTGAACTTTTTACTCAAGTAGTAAATGGCATGCTCCTTTCTGCCCGTCTCGTCGTGCTGACCGAGAACACACTCCATACTATTCTCAAGAACTGTCAAGTACATGATTAGAGGCCGTCCAGCCACTGGGCGTATCAAGATTGGAGGTTCTTGGAGATAATGCTTTATCTTGTCAAATGCCTTCTGGCAATCCTCGTTCCAGTTAATCGCCTGATCTTTCTTTAACAGTTTGAACATCGGTTCACACGTGGCCGTGAGCTGAGAGATAAACCTTGCAATGTAGTTTATTCTGCCCAAGAAACCACGAACTTCTTTTTCTGTTTTCGGCACTGGCATTTCTTGTATCGCTTTAATCTTCGCAGGATCAACCTCGATGCCTCTTTCACTCACGATAAACCCCAGTAGCTTTCCGGACCGTACTCCGAAAGTACACTTGTTAGGATTCAGCCTCAACCTGAACTTCCTAAGCCTCTCAAAAAGCTTCAGCAAATTGACCAGATGTCCCTCCTCCGTTTGGGACTTCGCAATCATGTCATCAACATAGACTTCAATCTCATGATGAATCATGTCATGAAACAAAGTAACCATTGCTCGTTGATAAGTGGCCCCTGCGTTCTTCAGACCGAAAGGCATTACCTTGTAGCAAAATGTTCCCCAGGGGGTGATAAACGTTGTTTTCTCCATGTCCTCCGGTGCCATCTTGATCTGATTGTAACCGGAGAATCCATCCATGAACGAAAACACGGAGAACTGGGCTGTGTTGTCGACCAACACATCGATATGAGGCAACGGGAAATCATCTTTAGGGCTCGCCCTATTCAAATCCCGATAATCGACGCACATGCGTACCTTACCGTCCTTCTTCGGTACAGGCACTATGTTGGCGACCCACGGAGGGTAAGTGGTGACTGCTAAGAAGCCAGCATCAAGTTGTTTCTGCACTTCTTCTTTGATCTTAACGGCCATATCTGGTCGCATCCTCCTAAGCTTCTGCTTAACGGGAGGGCAATCTTCTCGCAGCGGCAAGTGGTGGACCACGATATCCGTGTCAAGTCCGGGCATATCTTCGTATGACCAAGCAAAGACGTCACTATACTCTCTTAGCATCTCGACCAATCTCTTCTTGACGTCACTCTGCAATGCGGCCCCTATCCTGACGTTTCTGACGAGCTCTTCAGAACCCAGGTTCACGATTTCGATCTCCTCCTCATGAGGCAGAATAACTTTCTCCTCTTGTTTCAACAAGCGGGCCAACTCTTCAGGAAGGTCTTCATCTTCATCAATCTCTTCTTCGGCTTGATAGATCGGGCAATCGAAGTCGAAGTGAGCCGTAGAAGGTCCAGAGTCGATGTCATCTGTTATGTGGATCCTACAATAACAAGGGTTAAGTTTAAAACAAGGATGTGCAGGTTAGCACAATCCCCATTGCCATTTTACTGTTTTTCAAAACAAATATAAAACAGGAATAACAGAGATCATAATATTTGAATACGAAGAAAACACCTTTGATTTATTAACAAAATGCATGTACATAATCCAACAAGGCCCTGACAATAAAACCACTATGCCCCGGGTAGGACATAGGGTTGTACAATGATTGGAAAAATGTAAATCATTACTCTTCGCCTATCATCTGGATGATATCCTTGATGGTCCAATTGTTGAGGCCCTCGCCTGGCTTGCTTGGCTGTATCCAAGAGTCGAGGTCACAATCACTATCCCCGCTGTCTTCAGACACCGTGTTGATGCTTTCGAAAATCACTCCGCCACTGGTAAATTGGATCGACACTTTACCTCGAGACGCACTGCTAGACGAAGAAGAAGAAGCTTCAGCTCCAGGAGAATACTCTTCTGCTGCGAGTAATGCCACTGATTCCTGCGAGGTTCTCCACAGTCGACCCATATGGTTCCAGCTCCAACTTCTGTCCATTGCAATAGACTTCAGCCCCATAATGCCACGGAACGGCGTTAGTGCTCTCGAATGGTATCGGCCCAGCTTTGGTAATAGTAATTGTAGGCGGTCTGGGCGTCGAAATAGTTATTGGCTGGCGAGGGATGGTGATGGTGGCGACTTCATCGGCCTGCTTCAGCACTACCTCTCCTGATCCACCTTCAGCCCTCCGGCTAAACTGCAAAATCCCCTCAGTCATCAGACTTTGAATTCCTTCTACCAACTGCTCACATCCATCAGAATGTGTGGCACAGTCCATACATAACTCTCCGCATCCTGGAAAGAACCCTCTTTTCAGCAACTTAGCTTTAACGAAGCTAAGCGGCGTCTTTAGATCCCTGACGTCAGTCAACAGATCTGCACACTCTTCTTTGATAATGGCGTTCACACCGCCTCCCCTATGATTCGGCATAGGATTCTTCGTGACATTGGGCACATTATCGGAGAAGTTAATGATCTTGGCATCCACCAAGTCCTGCACCTTGTGCTTGAAGGCTTTGCAGTTCTCGATTGTGTGGCCTGGTGCCCCTGAGTGGAAATCGCAAGTGGCATTTGCATCGTACCCTGGTGGAGGTGCCCCTGTCAAGGGAGCCATCGTCCTCTTCTGGACCAACTGAAGCTGAAGCAAAGTCTGCAAGAGCTGCGCGTACGACATGGGCGGTGCCTCGAAGTGACGGTTTGCCAAAGATGCCTGATTCTGGTACTTTCTGTATCCCTGTTGATTCGGTTGCTGCTGCTGCTGCGGAGCCGCTGGGATATTTATACTGGCTACCTGCTGCTGAGGGCCTTTGCCCTTTCTTCGAGCATTGGTCACAGCGCTCGTCTCTCCTTCTCGCCTTTTACCAGCATAAGATTTCTTTCCACCTCCTCCAGCTGAGGATGACTCACCTTGAATTTTCCCGATCTTGATTCCATTCTCGACGTGCTCACCCATGATAATGAGAGCTGAGAACGTCCCAGACATACCGCTGACTAACTTTTCATAGTAAACCCCTGGGAGGGTGGCTACAAACATCTGCACGAGCTCTCGTTCAACCATCGGCGGCTGAACCCGAGCGGCCAACTCACGCCACCGCTGGGCGTACTCCTTAAACCCTTCATTGTTCCTCTACGACAGGTTCTACAGCTGGACTCGGTTCGGGGCCAAGTCGCTATTGTACTGGTAGTGGTGCATAAACGCTTCAGCGATATCCTTCCATGTGCGCACACTAGTGGGCTCTAGACCCATGTACCACTCGAGGGATGGCCCGGAAAGACTGTCTTGGAAGAAGTGCATCAGCAACTTCTCGTCTTTGGAATAAGCAGACATCTTCCTGTAGTACGATCTCAGGTGGACACGAGGGCAAGTGGTGCCCTTATATTTTTCAAATTCAGGTACCCTGAACTTAGGAGGTACCTTGAAGTCAGCAATTAATCCCAGCTTGGACATATCAACACCCAAAGTATTCTGATTCTCGATATCTCTCATTTTATCTTCAAGTGCCTTGAATCTAAGCCGCGCTTCAGCATTCAGCTCCCCTTCAGCACCCTTCTGAGAGAACACATCATCTTGGTGATCCTCTAGCCATGGCTGAGGCACAAACAGATTCCCGACGCCTGCATTGCCGTTGCCCGGCCCGATATTGACATTAGCTCCCGGACCCCCATTACCGACGCCTGCCGTATTGAGTCCGATGTTGGCCATCACATTGCCATTAGCACTGCCGTTGCCCCCGGCCACGGGGACACCATTCTGCGGAGTTTTAACTGGTGGAGGAGTAGGCACGGTCCCACCGTGGAGCACGCCGTTGCTATCAACCCTGGAGATCAAAGGCTGAACCAAAGTTTTGAGCTGGTCCTGGCCATTGGCGACCACTTGCATGAGCTCCATGAAGCGATCCATCCTCTCGCGGAGCTCCTGAACATCAGTTTGCACTTGATCCATGATCCTGGTCTGATTAGCTCTAGTAGGATAGCGGTGAACTAGTCTCTGATCAATCCTGGAACCACCGGAAACGACCTGGGACAACCTGTAAACCTGAAAAACCTGTTAAACACAGAAGGGTTAGGAAAAACAACAAAATGCTCGTCATGCAAATGCATGCGTGTGTCTGTGCGTTAGGGAGATCTTCCCCGATCCTAGTGCCTGAGTGCCAGTGCTGATAATAATAATAATAAGAATTCCGGGTCCAATCATGGAAATAACAATCTCATATATAAAGAAAGCCTATCAAGGCGGTACATAGCACACTACTACAAAAAAGTTTTATAATAGCGCTTTTTTTGCTTTTTAATAGCGCTTTAAAGCGCTATTAATCAAGCCGCTATTGTAAAATAAACTTTTTAATAGCGCTTTAAAAGCGCTATTATAGTACTGGTAATTAATAGCGTTTTTTCAAAAGCGCTATTATAGTACCTGTATTTAATAGCGCTTTTCCAAAACCGCTATTATAAGTCACATATTTGATAGCGCTTTCAAACAAAGCGCTATTATAGTACCGGTAATTTGCTTTAATTTTGATAGCACTTTCAAACAAAGCGCTATTATAGTACACATATTTAATAGCGCTTTCAAATAAAGCGCTATTATAAGACACATATTTAATAGCACTTTCAAAAAAGCGCTATTATAATCCACATATTCGATAGCACTTTCAAACAAAGCGCTATTAAAATACCGGTAAATTGCTTTAATTTTGATAGCACTTTCTAACAAAGCGCTATTATAGCACGCTCTCTTCAAAACACTATTCTAATACACTTTTTTTTTACACCAAATCATTTATATATATATATGGCATTTGCATTTTATGACATTAGAATTCATAAAATAATAATGACTAAGCAGCTAAAATATTTGAAAATAAAATAATAATGACAAATGTAATACCATATATATCTATACTATATATACCACTGCCATAATAAACACATAAGGAATTGTATCTATGTATTAATTTGGAGTCTATCTTCAGGGAGATTGAACAAAAATCTAAAATACCATAGTGTTAACATAAAATTTAAAGTAGAAGTTTTAGACAGAGAAAAATATTATAGTTCACTATCATAAGGAACACCTCTAGTGGGAATCCAAGAGTCAGCATCCAAGAAATAGGAAGCCGTGAAAACAAGTGCTTGATTATGGTTGCCAAGAACTCTAACACCATGCCATTCCACTCTACCATCCGTGTTTGACCCAGGTCCAACATTCTCAAACTCCACATAGGTGACATTATCAGTGCCCTGCCCCGGAATCTCTTCCCAACCTCTAGAATCTACCATGGAATCAATGTAACACTGCAAAATAGCAACTGTCGAATAGTTTCTCAATGGCCGACCCAACGTAGCATGCACCTCTGATTTTCTCTCCTCATCTTCAGGTGACATAGTAAAACTACAACGTTGGAATATTTTATATGAATAATGTTGTCAATAAAGAGAACTGAAAACTAGATCAAAGGTGTTGTCATGGATGAAAGACAATGTTTCAAAAGACTTACGTGAAGTATGAGTTGTCAAAAATGAGAGGATTAGAAGTCCATGGTCTCTCAAATCCAGAAAGTTCCTTGTGTGCAACTAGCAATGACAGAAGACCATTTGGCCATAGAGTCTCTAATACCATGCCATTTGAAAACCACAATCTAAAAAGAATTTACAAACAAAAAATGATGTTACATTATAATGACATGGTGTCTTTTGCCAAAACTATGTAGCATACTTGGAAAGGTCAAGAAGAGTCATTAAGACATAGCCAGGTTCTTTACAATGAAAAATGTTGGGCCAGAGAATGAATAGTCCCAATCCCCAAAGAAAAATGTCATATGAAACTTCCACTAAAGATCATTTTTCAAAATATCAAAATCCAGGAAAAACTATTTGAATTTATTAAAGAAAATAAAATTTCAAGAACAAATTTAACAAATTCCTTAAGATTTAATTAAAACAGTTCAAGACAACTAACATGTGAAAGCATTCTGGATCGGTTGGATTTATAGGAGGAATACAGCCACTGATCACTCCAGTAGCACCATTAATGGCTGCATCAACAAAGTCTGATGTCACTTTATAAAGTGCCCTATCACGCAAGATCCTGCAGTAAACAAATGACCCAAGAGATGAAGAAGGCTACCAAGTCATTGCCATCAGATAACTAAAGAACAAGCATACTCCCAATGTTATCAATCTATGAATGAGAGAAAATGAAGGTACCTCTCCTGTGGAGTTGTATGAGAAAATTCACGACAAGATTGCAGCTCCTCATTCCAGTCTCTTTGCATGCCAATTGGCTCACTTCCATATAGAAGAGTCAAGGCGTTCTCAGCCATAGAAGCATCGCGTCTGTGGTCTGCAAACACATCAAACTATATTATAAAATACATCAAGCCAGCTTAAGGTTCAAATATAAGAAATCTGCAGGATTCCCATAACTTTAAGCTACTAAGAAATTGACTACGAAATCATGTATGCACATATAACAGTAACATACTGAAGCTTTAGTCCTACAAGGCAAGGTTGGTGTTATGTGTTGAGTTAAAAGCCAAGTAGCCTATCTGATTCTAGATCCTTTTAATAATTTAGGTTAAGAGTCTTTCTTGGTCTTCCTCAAATTCCTTAAGTGGCATATCTATTGGCTTTCTTCTCATGTACAATTGAACCTCCTTAGGAACAATTATACCATCTTTCAGTCAATTGGTACTATTTCAACTTTCTCTCAATTGCACTCATCCTTAATTGCTCTTGTATGTTCACTCATCCATTGCAATATCTGCAACTCTATAGCATTCATCTGATGCTCTTGCTAGCATTAACTATATCACACACACCAACTAAAAGCAACTGCATTTTCTCAATCATCCTTCATTAGCACTTTGAATTTTCAGATCCATTGGTAAAAGCTACACAGGGTAAGATGAAATCATGAAAAATTGATTCCATCTTGTTGTAAACAAAAAAAGTTGTAGAAATTTATTCGTCCCACAATTATCTGGTCATAGCACCATTGTCCACAGTTGGCCGAGTTGAAACCTACCCACTAGATCAAAATATTAAAAGGTGATAAAAGATACTATTTTTCATTAAAAATTCATAATTACAGATGACAAATAAAGAAATATCCAAAATAACATTAAAGGTGAAAAAAACAACAAAAGTGTCCAAAATTCTGGAGCAGAAACTACTATGAAATAAAAAAATTCAACATGAACACCAATGACATAAAAATGTCAGAGGCTGAGCTTACCAGGAATCGGGTGCAAGCCAAGCCAAGAATTAGGTGGCAACAACGACTGGACATTTTCAAAAGGATGAGCAGAAGCCCTGCCTTCCAATATTTCTCGGAATGCTTCAAAATAGGACAATGTAAGATAAGTTCTGGTTGTCGAGGTAAAATTTTAAGAAACTTAAGTGTGAAACAATTACTATGCAGTTACAGTTTACTACCTTTTTTGAACCTGGGGCTAATCTTCTGCAAGAGAGCAACAAGAGTTGTTACTTCAAAAGTAGCCTTACTTGGCCTTGGATCGAGAGTGTTGTAATCCTTTGTAAGCAGCAGCCTCTGCACTGGACATTGCTGTAGCCATTTCTTCACAAGCAGCAGCATGTGCACCAAGTTGCTATCATGGTTTCCAAGTTGCTGCCGACGGTTGTGAACCTAAAAAACAAGTGAAACTGTTAAACAAAGCCAAGTTTTTGATAAAGTAGATGGTATAGGATTTTGAGACATAGCTTACGAGATTTTGGTAGCTACGACATCGCCATGGAATTCATGACCAGTACATACATCTCAGCACTAAGATATCATCTGTACTTGAATGACTTCATCCAATATTCCAGGGAGCGTCAACATGGTTTGTAGTTCTTGACATAATCAGAAACTCGCAAGTCTTAAATCACGCGAATGATCAACGCAAGGGCAAGATCATGGCCGTTGATTTCTTCTGCATTCCAAGAGTAATCCTCTATGCTAAGTTTTATCATGTTACACACCAAACCTTATATTTAAAATCACTAGCATCAGCAGAAGTGAAAGAGTCAGTGAATCTGGTAGGCCGCACTGCAACACTCCCTTTACTGTCTTCAAAACTAGCAAAAGTGCTACTATAACTAAACTTGCCGTTTTCTGCATCCTTCCAAATTTTCAACATTTGTGGAAGTGGTCGAGTATCGTCAACAGTAGAATAGGAGTCGTCGAATTCATCAGAAACCGGTCTCCATTTCTCCACTACTGCTGATAGTACATTGACAGCATGACTCATATCTAGCCATTGGTATGGTTCCATAGCAGTGCAATGTCTAGCAAGTTCTGCAGCAATAGTTATACTTTCACATGTTTCTTCATTTTGTTCCAAAGCTGGATCAATAGCAGCCATAAGCTGAAGTTTATTTTCATCAAGTTGCATCTGAGGTTATAAGTTGTGGACGATGATAGTAAGCCTGCATAGACCATAATAGAAGGATTAACACAAAATTCAAACAAAATTCCATGAAAAGTCAAGGGTTGTAAAGGTTCCAAATGCTAAGAAGATATCTTCAACTGCTAAATGAGAATGGGACCAATACATATAAATACAACATGTTGTCATATTCTTCATCACCACAGCTCATGTACTCTGTCTCGATCTCGCAACGAACAACAAACCTTTCACACCAACACCAACTTGTCACTTAGATAACACATGTTTAACTTGGGCTGATGATTTGAAACCCAGTTTAGGTTCTCAACGGATCAGGAAAGCAGTTGTTGAACTGTTGTCAAAGGACACATTCCTATCTCGTTAGTGTATATAGGAAGTATTTTTCTCTAGCATGATGCAGCAACTTCCACCGTCAAGTCATTCAATATTCTCGGTTATATCCCAGACCTATTGTTGCATAGAAAATTTTAGATGTAAAAAAAGTGTTATGCATATAGTTGTGTTTGAAGGTGTGAATGATCATCGACTGTGCTCAGAAGGTGTGGATATAACATGGATGTGAAGCTGGTTGATGATCTAATTCTAACTTTGAAATGTGTACCTGATCAGGGTCTTGAATTGACAAATGAAGCAATTGATTTATTGAAGGCACTTTTTGATGAAATTGACGATGATTCCGGTAAAGTTTTGCAGCCTTTAGGACATGAAGAACCATTCTCTACAGTTCCAGAAAGTCCTCGGATTGAAAGTCCATACGAGGATGCTTTAAGAAGGAATGCGTGTGGAGGATTACCAGCTGGTTCATTCATGACACTTTCAAACTCACTGCAATGCATTGGCAACAATAGAGCTCAACAACTCAAGACAACTTCTGTGAAGATTCAAAGTTGAGAAGTTGCAGTAATTGCTGAGACAAGTATCCAATACATACTTGTTAGAAAGAAGCATTAGAAAATAGCTTGAAAGTTCACTACAGTAGCAGAAAAATTACCAGATATACTTTTTCTCATTGCGGCCAAATTCTGCGCATCCAAATTCTTTCTTTTAAGCCAGGATCTCTTCATTAAGGTAAAGTTCCAAGGTGCTTCATCGAATGCCCCACACCAAGCTGATGTCGGTACATGAAAATCAACACAAAAAACACAAAGTTACCAGAGCTTTCAACAACAAGAATATGCACCAGGTTAACAATGGGATTCATAGCTTAATGAACAAAACAATTAAACCAGTCCAAATTATCTAAGAAAGCAATTATGGTTTTAATAGTCGAGAATCGACATAAAGAAAGCTACCGTGGATTAATTGTTGGCTTGGTAACATTAGCTACAGTCACAAGGACGAAAGACAATATTAGACTAACACTTGAGTCCTAACATAATATGATAATCATTCAGAATAATTAACTATTTTTTTCTCTAAGGCATTTAATCGAACATCTAACATACATATCAATTATAAGAGCAAAAAATATCAATTCTAGTATGCTTAAGAAATACCTGTGCAATGTGTGGTACTACAATGGCATTCTTCAACTCTGCAAGCCCGAGTTTCATGTAGGGCTCTTCCTAATAAAAAAGCAGGTGGTAACGTCATGCCGTGCACTGTGTTACAACTTTGGTACCCTCAGAAACTAAAGAAACTATATATGATACCAAACATATATGATACCTCATATCAATACAAAGCAAGGATAGAAACTAAATTATCTTCAAATTCAAATCCCTAATTTTACAATTTACAACACAAAGCAATAATCTGAGAAAAGAAAGATTACCGGATATCAATGAAGAGAAGGGTGACGGTGGTGAGCTGATGACGACGGCTCCTTTCGACGGAGAAGGATGACGGTGGTGAGCTGATGACGGCGGCTGAGATCGACGGAGAAGGATGACGGTGGTGAGCTAATGACGGCGGTTGAGATCGACGGAGAAGGATGACGGTGGTGAGCTGTCTTAGGGTTCCTCTTTTTATTCCAGTGAAGTGAATCGATGAAGAAGATGGTTGTGCATCGATGAAGAAGCGGTGAATCGATGAAGAAGATGGATGTGAATCGATGAAGAAGCGGTGAATCGACGATGAAATGTGAAGATGACTGTGTTTGCTTTTTTTTGCATGGTTTGCGCCAAAATGAAAAAACATATGGGCCAGGAAAGCTTTTGATATTTTAATTAATTTAATTTAGTGGAATATTTTAGTAGCGCTTTTTATAAAAGCGCTATCTTAATACACAATGATAGAAATGATAGTGGTTTCTTAGGAAGCGCTATTGTAGTTAAATATTTTAATAGCGGTTTTTGAAAAGCGCTATCGTAGTTCTTTTAATAATAGCACTTTTATAAAAGTGCTATTGTAATGCAACATTTTAATAGCGCTTTTTAGAAAAGCGCTATCTTAGTGAAGATCTATAATAGCGCTTTTTTATAAAGTGCTATCGAAATCATATTCTCTGTACTCTTTAATAGCGCTTTACTATAAAACGCTATTATAAATATGTTTGTTTCCTTTTTAATAGCGCTTATTTTAAAAGCGCTATTAAAGTAGGCGATACAAAATAACAATTTTGGCGTAGTGGCATCAGCGAGTACAAGATGAATCAACAGCGTGACCTCAGCCAACAAGCCTAGTGATGGTCAGCATACAACAATGATCAAAACAAAGGGAATACAAATAGTCAAGTACGGCCACGGGCGCGATACTCTTCTAACAACTCCTTCGTTTCTGGATGATCTGGCAGAGTGAGCAACCCTTCGACGAGTAATTCCCTATGCACAATGGTATACTGAAGTCCTTCGACCGAACCCTCCCATGCTCCTTCGCCGAAGCAATCTTCTAACTTCCGCTTTTTGGACTCAAGCGTCAGCTTGCGCTCCTTCAGGTTAGCGAGAGCTTTGTTGAGCTGGCCTTCGGCGGCGTATCTGCGGGCGGTTTCTTCATCAAACCTCTTCTCACTGTCCTTCACCTGGGCTTCCAGCTTGGAGATCTGTAGCATCAACTTATCCTCCCGCTCTTTCCTGGTGGCCAGGGAAGCCTTCCAGTGCTGGTTGAACTTGGATATCCTCCGATATGCCTCGTCCAAGTGCTGCTTCTTCGTAGCCAGTACGTCATTGACAACTTTGAAGTCTCGACCCATGCGTTCCCGCTCGGCTATCTGCTTAGTCAGGTCTGTACCTAGCTGGTTCACCAACTCTGTCTGCCTTTTGAAAGAATGAACGGCTTCATTCCTCTCGCTTCAGAGCTGAGCTAATTCCTTCTCCAGTTCTTCGTTCGCCCGCTTCAATTCATCCCGCTCAGCCAACACCTGATTATGCTGCTGAATGGGCACAGTAGTAGGCTCTTCAATCGTTGGAGGGCTTTCTGGCTTGGCATGAGGAAACGGCATCCCTATGGCATCTACTCTGGCTCTGATCCAAGTCAAATACGGAGGGTAGGCTTGATTGTTGCTTTTTCCCAGCAATGGCTTTCCTCGCTTACTGATACCATTCCACGCGCGCTGAAGCTTGGACAACAGATCCCCCTCTAGAAGACCAGTGAAGTACAGAGATTCCTGTACCTCTTCATCCTTCAACGGCGTTCTCAAAGCATACGCGAACTGTCGGACCAACAACGACGAATTGTAGTTTATACAGCCCTTCCTGCATATCAAAGGCACATTTGGAAACCCGCTGCAACTGAAGATCACCTCAGTACCCAACCTATCTCTGTCAAACCAGTCGATATCCTCTGCAGATAAACTCATCAGACGCTCGGACCATTCAGCTGTGGCTGCAGACAAGACAAAAGGACCCCTCTTGGGCAGATGACTATCAAGCCATTTATAGAGCAAGGGTACACAACATGAGACGTTCTTCCCCCTCCTATTCTCGTTTTTGTAGTGGATAGAATGGTAGACATTTCCGATCAAGGTAGGGACTGGATTCCCTGAAGCAAAGATGTGAAATGTATCAAAGTCTACAAAATCGGGCATATTGGGGAACAGAATGATGCCATATATGCACAGAGCAAGGATGGCATTGAACGCGACCCAACATCCGTCCTTGGCACACTGCTGGGCCTTACTCACTAGAAACTGCAAGGAGAACCCAGGAACCTTGTTCCAACTAGTCAATACTAACTCGGAGGTGTCCAGATGAAGTGAAGGAGCTAAACCAGCCAGATCAGGCTCAGCATCCATATGAACAAAAGGCATCTGCCTCTTGATAGGCACCCCTAGTAGATCAGCATACTCTTCCAGCGTGGGTGCGAGAACGAAGTCCTGAAAAGTGAAACATCTCAGCGGAGGGTCGTAGAATTGTAGCAGAGCGTGCAACCCATTCACCTCAAATGCAGAAGGTTTGTGAACCAAACTGAGCAACCTGCCGTAAGATTTTCTGAACTCATCCCTCACAGAATCATCTGCTAGAGCTATCAAACCAGTCAACTTAACCACATCGGGGACAGGGAACTTGTAAGCCACGGTCTTCCTCAGAGAACCCATAACAATATAATAGGAGGCAAGAGATCCTGGATCGGCAAAAACGGTACCTGCAACACAGACACACATTAATGAAATGCAAATGAGTATGCAAACTAATGCAAAATGCAATCATGCAATAGGAGACCAAGGCAACTGCTGTGGAGATTTTGTATCAACAAAACCATGACGCTGCTCTATCAAGAACAACCACTGATAAGAAGAAAACCCCGGTGTAGGACCACAAATCTGATCTGTCAAGAACAACCATCTGATAGAGCCATATACATAGGATCATAATTCTGCTCTGTCAAGAACAAATGTCTGATAATAAGGACCTCAGATGTAGGATCCAGAAATATCTGCTGATGAGGTCTTCAGACCCCAATCAAAAATCTGCTCTATCAAGAACAAACAACATCTGCTGATGAGATCTTCAGACCCCAAATCAAAAATCTGCTCTATCAAGAACAAACAACATCTGCTGATGAGATCTTCAGACCCCAAATCAAAAATCTGCTCTATCAAGAACAAACAACTGATGATGAAAACTCTGCTCTATCTAGAACAAATGCACATCTGATGATAGGATCCTCTGATCAAAACCAGCTCTATCAAGAACAGACAAATCTGCAACTGAGAAACCCTGGTACCAGCAAAACTGATTCACTGTCAAGAAAACCAAGTAGTCTGAAGGTCAAGGTTTCCTGCAATAAACCCAACCCTGCTCACAGGTATGGCCCTAAATTGACTCAAGTTCGGCATCCTATGCGTTCATCAGCGTCACAGACATTCAAGAGGGGTGATACGATACCCAGAAGGTGTGGCATCACCAGCTCATGAAGCGGCCTCACTCGGCTGAATCACAAATGATCGGTCCCCAGAGTCGACAATCCACCAAACCAGCAACCGTCTCAACCCAAAGGGTTGAAAGAGAAGCCAACCGGGAGAACCTCATCTGAGCGTGGATTTCATGAGACACTAGTGCCTGCAAAGCAAGCACGCGCCCACTAATTTCCACTCTAAGTCTATGGTGCACTCAAGCCTGGCTCTGGCTTCTCACTCATCAGAATGCCCCTCCCTACAACAGCACAGATAATCATATTATACTGAAAATAAAATGCGGGAAATAAAGTGCGAGAAGTAAAATGCGATAAATAAACGCAACCCAACAAGTAATCATACAAGCGCTAGGATTGACAAGCGCAGGGAACCGTTGGAGTCCCCAGCAGAGTCGCCAGCTGTCGCTTGCGCGAAAATAAGGTGCCGGCACAACAGAAGAGTCGCCACCTTTCGTTATTTATCCCTTAGGGCGGGAAAGGAAACGATCGGAAAAACCTAACGAAAAAGGGTAAGACAAGGTCGTCGCAACCATTGTCTGGGTTCAGGAGTCGGTTACGCAAGGGGAAGGTATTAGCACCCCTCACGTCCGTCGTACTCGACGGGATCCATGCTTGTTGTGTTTACTTGGACGGGTTGGTTTTATTCTATCTACCTATCAAGGCTGGCTTAAACAGAAAAGAAAAATGACTCGGCAAAGCGTCGCACTTTATGCCTACGTATTCTCATCAGAGAACGAGAAATCAGAGTCAACGTAGTTCGACCTACGACGGGTTATGGGGGAAGGTAGCTTGCCAATACATCAGTATTGTGCTTACATACTCTCAACAGGTATGAGAGATCAGAGCTCACGTAGTTCGGGACACTACGGTTTATTTCCTGTTTTTTACGAAAGAAGTGTTTTTTATTGTGTTTGCAATTTCAATCGCACTAGAGACTATGACCTGAGAGTGAATGTGTCGCATGTCACCCAAAGGGTACCATACTAAACATCCAGACTGTGGAAAAGAAACTCTCCCACAATCCTTTCTCAGATAGCTTAAGGCTCGTAACGTACGAAAGAAATCATTCATGATTACTGTATCTTAAACTGTTTTGAGATGAGAAGAGAACAGGCCCAACTAGGAGGGAGACTATCAAGTCCTACTGTTGTCATGCCAAGGATTCATCCTATGGTTGAGGTTTGAACAGGGAACTCCTAGAAGTTGTCATGCATAGGTTTCAACCTAAAGTTCTATCATCAATTCCTTATCAAAGGAAATGAGAGTCCTAAGGGATCATGTCAATGATACACCAAAACAGA